CAGACAGACAGACAGACACACACACACACACACACACACACACATTCATTTATATATATATATAGATAAAGCATACCACGTGAGTTCGATTAGATAAATAATATTTTCCAAAAATATGACAGGGGTACGGAAGATCCAAAAACTTCGATTCAAAGCAACTTGGCCCCATGTCTTTTTAAACTAAAAATAAAGAATTTGTTGCTATTTTTATCAAATTTAGATAAGAATGTTTTTATCGGAACAGACAAGATAAAAATTACTTTGCTCTGGCCTACAAGTCACGTCTATAACCCCCTTCTTGGTCGTATCAGTCCTGTTTTTGATGGAAATTTTAATATTTTTAGCATTTAACTACAGCGTTTATTTAATTTTAAATCCAAAATATAATCCAGTTTAATACGTTATTTTATTTTCCTGTTGTTGAATGGGAAATTGAATCTGTTACCTCACGCTTCATTGGAGTCGTTGTCACGATATTGTAAAATATCAAGCTTCAACCTATCTTATCGTGTTATAATTTTGATCCTTATTCCTGAGGAAAAAGGGATAAGGATCAAAATTCATTTATCTCTAATAAGACTAATAAGGCTCGTATATAGGGCTAAATGGCCATTATTCTTACTAAATTGATTGATACTGTAATAAACGTAAATTTCAGGATATCAACTGCAAAATTCTTAAAGAAAAATAAGGGTGGAATCCTTGCTTGGCTCTGTTGAGGTTCGAAACCTTTTCAAATGAGATAAGGGGTGCGAACGGCTTCGTTCAAAACAGAATTAGATTGTATTGATGGGATAAGGCAACGCAACACATGGACAATCGGCCAAGAAAGAAATAACATCAAGGAAGGATGTTATTTCTTTCTTGTTATAATTTTGACAAGAATTACTCTGATCAGGCAACCTGTCAGAGTAAAACTCTGACAGGTTGCCTGAGTGATCTCTATTCAGGTGTTACAGACGTAAAGAAAAGCAGAAAAACTCCACGTGGACACCAATTTACTCAGGCAGAAATCTCGACCAATTACCATTGTTCGTGGTTTTATCCATTCTTCCATAGGTTGGTCCATTCTCCAAGATGAATCAAAGCATCATTCGAATCCAAAAATCGTAAACAAAGTCTTACAAATCGAATTTTGAACGCAAATCCTGAAATTTGGATTTCCAAGTTTCTGTCTAGTGTCTTCTTACGGATGGTACTCTTGTACACAGAAGCCCAGGAGTAATTTGACTTATTGAAAATTTGAAAAATATGACTATACAAATTAAGTTTCAGTCCTTCTGTCTATTTATATCCTTTTCATTCCAGTGCAGGAACTACAAAACAGCCAGCGATTTGAAGAAAAAAATCTTCTAAAAGTAACAGACAAATACAATAAAAAAAACCTCACACGCAATTAAAAATGTTCTCGACGTCGACACTTTCTTGTAGGCTACGATGTCTACAAACATTAAAAATCGGTAAAATTCTTCCCTACAGCATTCATATTATATAATTGCATTTAAGCTGAGAGGGATGACACTCTGTTTAAAGACATTTAAATAATTTACAAAAAAACAATATTCTTACGAATTATTTAAATTTCATGAATATATTAATGCATTTTTACTATAAATCCGATAATGTTATCCGAATTTAAATGTGTTGTAGAAAGAAGTAGAAACTATTAAAAAAGCGATTATACTCCTTCTTCATGTCCAATCTGATCTTGCATGGCCGACATTTTTTTTGTATGTGATTAACCTAAGTTACGTAGTTAGTTGATAAGTGTCCTCGTTACATTACTCTATTGGAGTGTGTGCTTACTACAATATAGTTCATAATTCATCTCAAGATGAACATAATTATAGTACAACAGACAAGACGTACTCTATTTTTAGTGTACAAAACGAATTTTGTGTTTAGAATATTATAAATTTTTAAAATATAAAAAATGTTCTCCCATTGTTTCCTGTTTATATTCCGCACCAATTTTGTAAAGGGTCGCTTTCAATTATAATTCGCCCCCTGCAAAGCTTGGCTCTCTTCCTTGATTCAAAAATAAACCCTTTAGTTTTCCCGCGAATAATGATGGCAATTGAAATAAATTATCATCGATAGAATGGTGAGAAATATAATTTTTAAATGTAAAATATTTAAATAGGGAATATATGTAAACCCGGAATTGACCTTTGATGTGTATAAAAAGTAACGAATTAGGAAACAGAAAGGCTTCACTTTATAACAATCCCTTGTAAATATAAAAGGAGTCCTTCGTTCTCTGACAGGTTGTCAGCATTTTGAATGAAAAATTGTCCTGTGAATACCAGTTCTTGAAGAATAATAACGTAGTTAAAAGGTCATTAATTTCGGCTTGAGGATCCTGTATTGTCAGCAAGCTTGTAAAATCTCCAAATTCAATCTTTTAATTCGTATTAAATCTTGATGAACTTTAACCCTTTATGTCATATTTAAACTCCATTCGGATAAGGTGATGATTGTAGAATAACGCTTAGTTAACAATCAAAATATGATATATTAGGGTATTATTTATCAGGATTTTATCAGGATGGTGCGTTAAGGCACCACTTAAATTTTATCAGAATATTATCAGAATTTCAAGATATCAAGAATATCAAGATATTTTTATTTATCAGAATTTATCAGAGTTACGTTCCTACTATAAGAATAACGTATCTTCGGTTGATACTTTATAAAACTGTAAATCCTGTTCAGTTTTTTACAGTTTGGAATTGGAAATTTGTAATTAAAAATTTGCTTACTCCCAGTAATGCCTTTCCCAGCTACTGTATGGACAAAACACAAAACACTGATTAGTTGCGGGTTCGTACTTCACCAACGAAGTTTTCCGTGTTTTCTTCACACATTTAACACTTTAATAGGGCCAGTTTCTTATAGAAAGTCCTCACCGTCTTGACAGACCGCCCTTGTGTTGCGTTACAGCATCCCACATTTGCTCCTGAAATTAGAATATCAAAGACAAAGAAATGACAAGACAAAGCTTAAAAGAGAACGAGCGTATTTTTGAACATACATGGGCCAAGATCGAGTTATCAAGTTCTCAAGGACACTTAACAAGGTCAGCAGATACAAAGCAGTTACCAGGTGCTCTTGTCTTGTGAAGATATAAGTGTCATTTGGACCAAATTTTATCCTCCTTCCGGGTGTCTTAACTTCACAATATGATTTTTTGAAGCTCGAATTTTCCGAATTGTTTTTTCTATTTCCTCGAATAATTTGTTTCTCTGTATGATAAATGTTCAATATACACCATTAGTAGACGGATAACATCATAATCATGCCAACTGCTCTTCATGACGTCTTTACCATGAATTTTACTGCCCCTTAAATGATTTTGTTTTATATTCTCGAACATTAATGTTATGAAAATGTTATAAACTTGAAACAATTATTTATTTTTAGAATTTTCATTGTTCAAAGTTGGTTTACAACTGTTAACTGCTATCAGCTATGCGCGTTATACGCCGATTTTATGGTAATTACACCCATAAAAGGTATAATTTACTTAATTATATATGCATATTCATTTATAAAGTATTTTTTCTTCGTGAACATTTTTTAATTTTAGATTTTTAACTTTTACTTCCGGAATTTCGACTGTCCAGCGTGATGTTGGGCCACGTTTCTGGTAGGAATATTAATGTTATTACAGTATTACATTGGGGAAAATTACTAATATTAAACTCACTTCGTCCTAAGAGCCTTATAAGACCCTATTAGGACGTTTAATCCTACTCATCATGGGTTTGGCAAGGCTCATAATGGAGACGGGCCTTGAATGCATTCAATTAAATGTGACTATATAATAAATGAAGACTGAATCACCCTTTATTGTGGAAAAAGTAGGAAAAAGAATAACAATAAAACAGTAAACATATATATATTTTAAAGTAAAACAGAAACTTAATCGGACGTTATTCATTAATAAATATATAATAAATTTTAACGACGATCTGGAAGTGATAATTCATGTGACCTTCGCTTTACGACCTCCCCGTCGTAAAGCGAGATCCAGATTCTCACAGATTCTGTGTCTTGAGTTACGTTCCTACTATAAGGGTAACGTACCTTCGGTTGATACTTTATAAATAAAGTATTATATTAAAGGTAATACTTTATACTATTCTAAACGGTAGCTATGGGGAGTCCGTTAATTACGTGTGCTTTTTTTCCGTCATCTTACAGTCCCTACCTACTTCTTGTGTACAATGATATACTTTTGATAAACCTCTCTCTAGTTACGTCTACAACAGTTTATAGATCCCTAATATTAAAGAAAAATCTTTTAAAAAGTTACTAGAAAGAAGGCTTATAACAAAAAATTCATATATCATTATTACACTAACATAAGTTCACGTAGACCTCCTCTCTCTTCCCTAACATTGTATACAATAATATACTTTTCTAGGGTGATTATTAATTATTAGGGGCGGTTCATTAACTGCAGAGTTTGCATTGAACCACGAGTTGGTTAAGAAGAATTTATTAAACTGTACTACCCACTAATGATACTTTATAAATCCCAACTGCTCCATCCAACCAACCAACGTGTCAATTTTACGTCTTCTGTGTTACTTTTCAATTTTTTAGCACTTTGTCGTTCGTTACGCCACCCTGTACTTTTACAGTTACGCTCACCGATGCTTCACAACACTTACAACTTGTAAAAACCCATTAACGTTAAAAAAACAATAAAAGACTTCAAATTCAATTATTTTTCATTTTGCCGGAGGACAATTCGTAACTTATCCATAGTAGAATGGAAAAAATCGTGAAAGTAACGTTAAAAGCAGTAATTCGTATTTTCTCCGCCGTGTGTCGCTTCTGTTATAGAGGATCTGACCCCAATTATGTACGCAACCAATTGCACTTAAGGTCATTCATTTTCCTCCAATCAGGGCGTATTTTACGAATGGCACTCGATATAAAACGTTACCTTTTAGTCCGATAGAACATGTTTTTCTTTCTATTTAGTAAAGTGTTGGCTACTTCAAAGATTGTTCCGTTTATTATTCATGTGTTTATTTTAAAAACAATTTAAATTAAAAAAAAAAAAATGGATCTGTCATGGAAAACTCCAATATCAATTTACCAATTTCTCATGTCTAAAGCAGGTAAGAAATTTATACTATTTTATAAATTAATATAATTATAAAATGGCGAGTTAATCGCCTATCATTGAGCCAAAAATCTTAGTTTAATTGCATAATTAATAGCACCGTTATAACCCGTTTTATTTCACTAAAAATTTAATTATTATTATTATTATATTTTATCTTTCCATTTTCTCATAGTATTTTTTATTTTTAATCTTTTGTATAAGCGAATATAAAATTTAAAATATAGAATTCGACTTGTAACGATGACGAATTGTTAATACTCGTCATCGTTATTATTATTATTATGAAATTTTGACCCTTTTCTTATGTTAAGAGATGTGCATCCAGCCGACATTTTTTATTATCTGTTTTAAAGTCAGGATTCATTTTTATCGTTTCGGAATTATTTATATTGTCGTAAAATATATTTCATGAAAAATTTTATAACCTTATATGTGGCATATAAGGTTATAGGTTATATAAGGCCACTTCTACACGCCACAAATTGTCTTTCGTGAGAGATTTGGCACAAATTTTTACTTACTGATTTAAAATAAAGCCAATGTTAAAGAAATTTTTAGTGAAAATCGACTTAAAGTTTTAATTTTGATAATTTTTTAATAATTTTATTTACAAAATTTGAAGTTTATGTTTCTATACTGCTTCGTTTTGCGATAATAGTTTTACAAATTTTATTTTCATAGCAAAATTTTCCATTTTAATCGATATTAAATCAACTTTCTTCTAGTTTTTGCATAAAAATTGCAATAAATATTTAAATTTCGATGTTTTTTTGTTTTTAATGTTTATTAAAATGTAAAAATAAAAGTTGGTTTTGGAGGCTCTCTTTCCTCCTTTTTTCCATACTCATCATGGGTTCTGCCAAATTCACAATGGGACCAACTGGTAGATGAGGAGCTCCAGATATATATGGAACCACCCCGAACAATTTCTGGAGTATTTTGAGTACTGTGATTTGACTCCGTGGCCCTCACAGCGTTGGAATGATGTCTTAAGCGTTTCGGGCCAGTTTAATAAACCAAGTATTATTTACCTATTGGAGTTCCTCTTTAGATATTTTCCTCACTTTTTTAATTATAAGTTGGTCGCTTTTCTTATTATCTACTTTCTTTCAAACCCCCCTACAGAAGTCACCTAATTACTTCCCTATAGAGAGTGTAATCTCTATTATCAAACAGTATCGAATCTCACGCGATTTTTCTTCCGTTTCCTTAAACTGGAAGACCTACTAAAGAGCATATAGGTGACCCACAAGGGAGGAGAATGACGATAATACGTTTCCGCTTACCGTGCAAAAATATTCACACCTCCTATGCATACCTTTCAAATACAGTTTAACTTAGACGTAACATTGCACCCTACACGACCTGTATTTTTGATTATTTTTAATAAAAACATGTTAAACACTCTGGCGAAAATCTATTTAGGTGTACTATACGAGACAATGCACTCGTAAATGTCCTCTAATGTTGAAGAAAACGTTTCTACGTTATATTGATGGCTGCGCATGTTGTTTCGTTATATCAGGGTTTATCAATGTATGCTTTTTCATTATGTAAGAGAGTTTCCTTTATATTTCTTTATATATATACATAAACAACAGAATACAAGAGCATTTTTCTACTATTGTTTGATTAATGATGCCGTTGCTATCTTTAGAAAATTCCCTAAGTTTGATTGTACTTTACTTAATTTCTATATTTTTTGGTCCTAAATAAAGATTATTTTATGATAAATATGCTAATTTTCTCCTCGAAAACTCGCACATTTATTATAAGATCTACGTAATCACATTGAACTAGTTTTTGATTTTAATATATTTTTTTAACAGATCCTAGAATGGATTCTTGGCCTTTAATGAGTAGCCCTTTTCCTATATTGACCATTATCGCGGCATACGTTTACTTTGTTAAAGTATTAGGACCTGCTTGGATGAAAAATAGGAGGCCCTTTCAGATCGATAAATTAGTTAAATTTTATAATATTTTAATGGTTATAAGCAATGGATTTTTCTTCTTTTACGTAAGTATAATTTTAATTAATTCATCTTAATTATGTTCCTGTACATTAAGCATACTTAACAGCATGAAAAACTTCTTTAAAAATGCAATATTTGATTAATTTATAATTAATAACCTTATTAAATCTCCTTAATTTCAAATATTCTGAAGTGTTGGATTTCAGTTCTAGATTTAATATGCTGTAAGCCAGCAGTTTTCAACTAGTGGTACGCGTACTACTACAAGTCTTACCTCAGGCGGTTGCTCGAGTAAAGAAGGTTGAGAACCTCTACTGTAGGTTACAATAATTAGTTTTATTTATATATAGAATTTAACAGAAATCTATATAAAATGTATTTATAAGAAAAAAAAACAAGAAGTAGATAGCCTAAGACTACATTTGTGATTGGCCAGACTGCAATAAATCGAAATTATAGTCATATACCAGTATAAATGTACTTGTAAAAATATCCTGATTTGAGCTCTTCGTATTATTGTATTATTGTATTGCAGCGCTGATAAGGAGTTACAGATAAACACTTCAATTACACAGATAACACTTTACAACTGTAGTGCAAATACTAGTTTATGTCCGTGCTTTCAGTTTAAGTACTCTTATTTTTCATTTATGTCTATACCTGCAGTGTAAACTCTATATTGTAAGTATAGACACAATTAATTATAAAGGCAATATATGCTTTTTTATATTTTTATTAAAAATGAAAAATAGAAGGAAAACTAACTAAAATAATTGTCTTGTTATATGCTTATGATATAATACGCAATACTTAATAACGTTTCTAATTAATTTAATAATGGATTATTAAGAAATATTAGTCATAAGTGATGTGGCATTTATAATATAAATAAATAACATTTTTATTATAAATGCCATATCAATTTTATCCTTTATAATAAATCAATAAAATTTATTTATTATGAATTAAGATTTTATGTTAATTATCAAAGTAATTTTAGTGAACATATCAGTAAATTACATACATACAAAAACTTTTGTGGTTATTTTTATATAATTAATTCATAAGCCAAATAAATCATTGTTATTATTATAGCATAAATAGGTCCTGAAAGAGACTAAATGGGGACTGTGCCATTTATAAATGTTTGGCTCTATCCGAAAAGCCATTTATCATCTATCAAATGAATTTTAGTTGGTTTTCAATTCATACAGTAGAACCTCCATTATCCGGACCTCCATTATCCGGATTTTCGATTATCCGGATTGTTCAAAATAAACAAAAATTTTACGAATTTGCTGATTTGCACTTGGCGAATTACGACACTGTTTATGTTCATGATGGAATGCATAACTTTTTTTGTTTCAACAACGTCTCACCCAGCACAGTGGTCGTAAACTCTTAAATATATTTTACGTAGTAATAAAAATATAACTTGACATACGTATTTATAAATAATTTATATTCAAATTACATCATTTCTATGACCAAGGGCGGCGTAAGGCATGGACGACGTGGGCCACCGCCTATGCCTGGCGGTCCGAAGGGCCTCGCGCCTCGAAGGTTTATGCATTACTTAAAAGCCGCGAACGCGACGAAAAAATTTTACTCGTCATAAAACGATAAATAGTTTATCAAATTTTTATTCATAAAACTGCAGTTTCAACTGCTTTTTATTTTATAAAATCCGTCTTCTTGCGCCACTAGAGGGCCTTTTAAACAGTAGGTAGTCTGTTAGCGTTGGTCAGTAGTAGTCCAAATTCAATATGAATGTTTGTTTCTTGAAAATTTGATCACGATTTAAATACAGTATTTACTTTTAATATTGCCGATATGTCATCGAAAAGAAAACGTGTTGTATTATCATTAAAAGACAAATTAAAGTGTTTGTTTCGATTATCCGGATTTTTCCTTATCCGGACTACCTTCATCCCCAATTAGTCCGGATAATCGAGGTTCTACTGTACTTTATATAAAATGCCATTTAGCCCCACAAAGTGCCTCAAAATGTAACGTTTTGAGGCACTTTGTGGGGCTAAATGGCTCTATGGTCTCTCTATCTAGGACCTCTTCGAAAGCCAATAATAAGCCGGAAAAAAATGTTACTGTATATCATTTTGCATCATACCATGCCACCTTTTTTCTACGTATAAAACTAAATTCTGAAAGTCCCTTTACTTCTAAAGCTCCATAAAAATACTTGGTTACATCAGATAAGACAAGACAATACACGCGCGATATGCCTTCCGGAAGGACTTGTCAATAAGACACTGGTCATATTCAGTATTAGACACGTGAAGAAAACATGTGGCCAGCCCGTTGTTGAGGCACGAACTTGCGGCCTCGTGTTGTCTCGATCGCTCGTCTGTTGGTGGGCCTGGTCCAAATTGCCCAACTGGACCCTCTCTATCTAGGTCTGAGTGTAATTAAGAGAATAAAAAATAATATGAGTTGCATATCAGTTGAATGTATCAATAAAATGATATTATTCTCTTCAGGGTGGAGGTAGAACTTACCTTTCTGGAAAATACAACTGGATCTGCGAACCTATTGATTACTCAATAAACGATGAAACGAAAATTGTAAGCATCGATTCTGTATTAATTTTTTTTTTTTAAAGCTGAAAAAAATAATTCTTTCCATAATATTTTACAGATTATTCGTTTGGGTTGGTGGTTCTTTTTCTTGAAAATAGTCGAATTATTAGATACTGTAAGCATAAAATGCTTGGAATTATTGAAATAATTAGAATATTTTACATACGATTTACTTTTATTTTTATATATTTTACAGATATTTTTTGTTCTGAAGAAGAAATTCACGCATATAACGGTGCTTCACGTAATTCATCATTCCGCTGTCGCTTGGGGAGTTTGGATAGGAGCACGTTTTGGTCCAGGTAACTTTTTAGAATAAATTATTTAATTCTGGAGTAAAAAGTTTTCTTCTTCTCGTGTAAATAGTTAAATATAAATTAGTAAAAAATATTAATTTATTTTAAAGTCTGGTTTATTTATACTTTTAATTCTCTTAGCACGCGTCGTCGCGTCGCTTCGCATGAAGCGTAAATTCGTTATATTAAGATATGATTTTTATTTCTTGTGTTGAAATATGTAAATTTTAAATACAATCACTCATTTTCGCACTATAAAAGAAACTTTACTGCTTGCTGTTTAATGCTTACTGATTATTACTTTATTATTTATTAATAAAAGTAAAATTTTAGAATAATAGATAGCCTATATAAGATTATTATATTTTACATAAACAAGAAGCGAAAAATATAATTGTAATGGATCATGACCATCAGGAAATTTTAGATTCAATAATTGAAAATCTATCGCAAAAAGTTTTTGGTGAAAATAAACAGGTTTCGTTTCTTGTTTTATAGAATAGCGAACGAAGCGACGAAGCGACGCGACAACGCTACGCGACGCGCAACGACGAGAAACACGCTAATTTAACCCATTTAACGCTTCATAAATCAAAAACAAAAAAAAATGTAGCGTTATTGTTACGAAAATAACGTTTTACTAATTTATTTTCAGGTGGAAATAACGCATTCTTTCCGTTCATCAACTGTTTCATTCACATGGTCATGTACTTCTATTACTTTCTAGCAGCCATGGGCCCGGAAGTACGAAAATATTTATGGTGGAAAAAATATTTAACAATTATGCAAATGGTATAATTTAATATAATTTATTTACACGTATTTAATTTTATTTTAAATAAAAAATTATTAATTTTCAGGTGCAGTTCGTCGTCGTTTTCACTCACGCTATGATACCATTATTCACCACTTGCAATTATCATAGAGGTTATGCTTATGCTATTATGATGCACGCTGTTATGTTTATGGGTTTGTTCCTTAATTTTTATACTCACGCCTATTCTAAGGATAAAATATTATCGAATGGAACGTGCCAAGTAAACGGAACGATAGATAATCTACATAAAACTAATGGAATTGTAGTTAATAAGAAGCATCAATAGGTAGGGCCTTGCGTACAGCATCAATATGTACCATCAAGTAAAAACATATAATAAAACTGTTTAAAATATATTTTTAGCATTAAATCTGAATTTTTTAACGTTAATTAATTGTTAACAATTTAAATTTTCGGTGTAAAAAATGTCCTTTTTTTAACTTGATGTAATTATAAAATTATTCTGATATAAAAATAGTTTTATACATTTTTACTATATTTTTGTATATATAAAATATATTCAATGTAATTTATCTTAAATTAAATAAAAATATTATATTTTATTTATTTTTAATGATCTTTTATGTTATTGCTTTTATACTTTACTACCACCAGGGTATTGTGGATTAAACAACATATCAATATTTTGAGGTTGACTGAGGTCTGTATTTGTATCTACAGTACTATGTATTGCGTATGGAAGTTAGTGGATGACTAAGACCTTCCGGGCCCTTCTACGTAATTTTATATTATAAATTAATAACGTCTAGTTTTAGAATTATTAATAAATTATGGAATACAGTTGCAACGTTCTGAGTCCTAGACATGTGTCTCACGTGCCTTGGTGTATTAAAATTTTATTTATTTTTAAAGATAAGGACCTTTCTTGTTATGTTACTGAAAATCTAACACAATACACACAATCTGCTATAAATACAAAAGGAAAACGTACATAAAAAAAACTCCCTCAGTGCAAGATTGCCCACCATGCACGTGACACGTGCATGAGCAATGTGGGGCCCATGCCTAAGGGACCCAAACGTTGCAATTGTTTATCATAATTTATAAATAATTCTATAAAGTAACGGTAAAGTTTGAGGTGTCTAAAGAGTATAAGGTCAGTATGTCAGTACGTTTGTGTAGGTAGCTCTATTTGTGTTTTTATCACAGTTTGTGTCCATGTGTCTATCTCTTTCGTTGTTCCTTTTCTGTATTTGGTATTTATACATTTGTTGTGTGAACTTCTGTGAAAATAGCAGGCTTATAGTATACCTAGTACAAGATATTTCTAGTGTGTAATATAAAGTATGTATATTCATCAATACTTAGTATACTTGTAAACAATGTATTTATAATAATTTAAAAGATAATTTAACATAAAATATTTCTTAATGTTATTTTCTTAAATTTAAACAAGAAAACTTTAAACAAAACACCACCTTTGTCACTCGTCTACTGTCAAAATAAATATTGCGATATATCTCGACCTTCAAATCCTTTCCCCTTAATTCTACAAAAATTATATTTGTTTTACATTTTTATTTAAAAAAAACAAGAAATAAGAAGGAAAAAGATCGTTTAACACTCTACATTTTATTTATTACACATCGAGACATTTATCTATGATTTTAAAGAAGTTATAAACAGTGTAACATTAAAAGAATTTGAGTAAATAATATAAAAATTTTGCACAATTTTAAAACAATTTTCCTTCATTTTGCATTAATGTATAAATAAAGAATAACTACAGATAATATTAGCAAATAATTAGATATTTATTGATCTACCCTTATATTATAACTAGCAAAAAACAACATCCTTATTGGCTTGTTACTTATTGATACACCTTTTATATCAACAGATGTAAATCTTACGTTATTTCGTGAATATATGGCCTAATTTGCATAAATTTATTTACATTTTAAACAAAATTATTTCTAAGGATAATTAAACGTACAGTAATAAAAATGACGTTTTATATTCCTCTAATAATGAAGTTGTCGAGTTACGCTCTTTTCATCTTGTTGGCATCGAGAAGGCCTTTTTTCTGTCGAATCACGGATTTAATTAATAAATAATTGTTAATTTTGTTAATAAACTATCAAATTTTAAAAGTTTATGCTGTTAAACTCCATTGTGGTTCTGTTTGTTCTACGATATACTGGTGCCTCGCGTGAAGTAATTAATCAACTAATTCTGAATTTTTAAGTAAATGAATTTAAAAACCTGTCTAAAACAGAACATCTACAAAACGGAAACTTGACTAAACATAAAATAAATCTCGAGTGGAATGATTTTCAGAGTAAAATATTACTATAAACCGGAAATCTATCTAAAGCGGAAATGGTAAACTTTGAGTTTCAGTTGCGTAACGTAACCCGAGTACTTGCTAATTATGCAAATTGTTCCGGAAAGAATTAGAGAAAAGTCTATGTTTTTAATTATGTCTTTGAAATAATGGATTATTTAATTTACATATAATTTTATTTATTAAAAAATATATAACAACCTATTGAAAGGCAATACAACACAAGGGTGATTTCCTAAAAGGATATGGCTTACGAGAGGACTTTCCATGCGAATTGAGCCCCTATTTAGGTGTTAGACACGTAAAGAAAACTCGAAAAAACTCACGTGGCTACACCGTTGGTTGTGAATGCTCGACCAACGTGTATTCGATGGTTTTGTGTACATCATTAAATCATTAGGCAAAAATTCATGTAGAATTTTAATATGCCTGACTACATAAGCATGACGAGCAGGAAGAGAAAGATAAACATTGAATTATTTTCATTTTCTAATTTTATTTCTTTATTATTCTGAACAGACATACTATTATTGTATTTAATAATTATTCATTATTCTTACCTGTATTGGCTATAATACAGAATTATGCAAAGTTTCACACGCCCTATACAATTATTTTCAGTTATTTTACATGGATTTGCTTGTTATTTACTTATAACAATGTCGCGTACGATAAAACTTTCATATTCAGTATATATATAATAAACATCTGAAAAAAGCACTTTTAGGTGTTTAGTTTAACATCGCTCACTCCAAACTGAGCCTCCAGCAACACGGAAAAAGCTATAAAAATATTAACTTCACAATTAAAGCTTGTAAATATTTAATTAAGAACTTAATAATCTTAATCAAGTTTAAATGAAAACATTATTTAATCAGAATTAAATGCATTTTAATTGGGATTAATATCAGGTTTGTATAGCATATACTGTACTGTATACTCGTAAAATAACTCGATTTTTGAGTGTTTTAATCTATGAATTTGTATAATTTGATAGGTCGAATGGTGTCCTATATTTTCGTTCCCGCAAAGGCACTTGCATAGACTCTAGGTCACACGTATACCGGAACTCAAGTTCACTGTTGTTGACATAACTTCTTAAGGAAGTATGCCATCGCTTTCTTAAATCTGAACTAATCTGCAATAGAAGTGTCAAAAATGTGTTTAAAATTATAAAATTTTATATAAAAAAACAGCCTCTGAAAGCCGGGTTTAAAGGTAGATAAATTGGTCTGAAAGTTTTCAATTGGTTCCTTCAAGTAGAGGCCTTTTTTGGGAAAATCACGAATTCGTCTTTGCAAGTTTCTGTGGGTTGTTTACAGAACTTCGCCTGTAAACGGGTTTTGAACGGATAAAATTTAATTATATTAATGTATATCGAACAATTGTGCAAATTAGACGTTGTTTACTTTCATAAATTTTTATATTATTGAATTTCCCCTCTCTATAGAGGGTTATGCAATTCGATACAGTCTAAATTTGTTGCTTTTTACTATTAATTATCTTCGATACATCATTATATTGACAATAAAAATTCTTTAAAACAAGATTAAATTATGATAAGAAATTTATCTCAATGACCTCAACATACATCATTGGATAAAATTACACAGCCCTAAGGCACAGATGAGGGAACCCTTTGTAATTAGAAGGCCATACATAAGGCTGCATGTTGTTTAGCTGGCTAAATTAAGTATGTAGGCCTAGTTTCAGTACCCATGCACCGAAAATATACGTAAATTATATTTAGATGAATTTTGTTCGTATTGAAAAGCCAAAAAAAAAAAATTATATTTTTATAACATAAAACTGACTGTAAACAATAGAAATGACCCAACTTTAATGTATCAGGTTATCGTAAATCCATAAAAGGTCACACGCAGCCTTCTTAGAGCATAAGTTTTTTTTCTTACTTGCTTAAGAGGGCCTTTCAGCCCATTTATGGTTTCAACTAGGCCTACAATAGGTTGGCCGGGGTGTGAGGAACGGGCCGGACATATCCATACAGACCACCTCCCGAAAAACGGGGTTTTTGAACCATAGGGATTCATCTCTGTTTCCTGACAACAGTATAATGTCATCCTAACCTGTCGAAATCCGTCTATCAACAGAGAACGGGTGTATTTATGTCCTGAGGCAATGAATGCAAACCCGTATTTCAAGGTACCCGCATTAACATTTAGAAAGTATCGTTCTTATAAATTATACAAAGTTTCCAAATTTATCAGTTTATATACATATATATATATTTTTTTTTCAATATATTTAGGTTTTTTATATACAGTATATATTTTTATATTAATATATATTTATAAACCTATATTAGTTCTTTTTATATATTTAGGTTTTTTAATATATTTAATATATTTTATATTTTATTACTTTTTATATATTTTTATTTATATAGGTTTTTTATAGGCTATATTTTACTAGCTGTTATCCGCGACTTCGCCCGCGGAGGTTTTGCAAGAAAACCCCATTTATATTCAGTATTTCAACAACAATAGTAATTGTTATATAACACCTACCGCCGAGAATAATGCGAATTGCCGAGAATCAAACGAGCAATTCTCAATTTGATCAATTTTCTGGAACGTTTACAATCGTTCTATAATCGATCCAATACGCAATAACAAATTCGAATTTAGAAAGGTTCGAACATTTGGTTAAAAAATCGAAATATAACAAAATATTTATAACGATATTTATATTTATAACCGAAATGTTATTAATTTAATACACTTAAGTACTTAATGAAGACTA